AAAAACAACTGTTCAGTCCGCGCGCTCCACCTAAGGGCTTAGACTCGAACCTGATGCGATAGCACAAATCACTTGACAATCAACTTTCCAGCACAATCCCATCCAGGCCATGAAAGGACTGAATGACCCACTCCAATCTGCTGTGCCCAAGGAGCTGAGCCAGATTTCCTGGGGCCATTCTGCACCAGCAAAACTTTTTATGACCACGGCACACATCCGCCCATTCATGAGGTGTTTCTTCCATGCTTCAAGGTCAATTATTCTGACCTGACATCCTGGGTCTTGGAGCGTCTCCCTGATGCCCGCTGCCAATGCGGCCTTGAGTCCAGGGCCCACGCAGACCATTCGCGGCTCTGCTTGATGCGCTCCAAGTCCTCCGCCAAGGCAACCCCACCCCCAGTTCCAGGGCCTCGGATGTCCTGCAGCTTCGAGAGCTTGATGACGTTGGTCCCCAACCTCGTAGGCTTCCGTCTCTGATGCCCCATCGGACCTTGATCGAAGCTCACCTCGAACGTCCCCCACCGCTCCTTAAAGTCCTTCCACTCCGGCCAGCACCAGTAGGACCCTGCACGTCAGCTCCACCTTCACACTGCTGCTCAGGAAATCACTCAATGGTAAAGTCCTGACAGGTGATGCGTGCTGAGGGGGGGAACTCACTTAATAGTAATGCCTTCCGTGCATCCTCTTGGCGCGCTGCCCCGCAGGCTGGGTGCTTTTTTGCGTGGGGAGGCTTTGGCTGCTGGAGATGCATGCTTGTCCGCAGAGAGACAGACAGAGAGAGAGAGAGAGAGAGAGAGAGAGATGTTCTCCTGCTCCTTTCTGAGGCGCCGAGCGGCTGGAGTCTCACTGGAGTGATCAAGGAGCCCCCGAGCTGCCTGACACTGGAGCTGCATTCCAGGCGGCTGCAGGCCGAGCTTTGGCTGCAGGTGGAGGAGGAGCCCCAGTTCACCTGCTCGCTTGACCTTGTGCAGGTTGAGCCTCATCATCATCCACGGCCCAAGGCTCATCGATCGATGTCTGGGCCTCCTGGGCTTTCTTTGGCTGATCATCTTCCACCACCACCACCTTCTTCTCTGATCCACATGCAGAAGGAAGCTCAAGATCGGGCGGTGGGGATCTCTTCTTCGACCCTAGTCCTGGATGCCACTGATCCTGCGTCATCCCAGCAAGTGCATTGGCCATCTGTCTAGCTAGGGCGGCAGGTGGGATCCTAGACATTTGAGCGAACTCCCCAGGCCCTCAAAGGCACGTCCAAAAACAAATCGGGGGGTTCGCTTGATCAGCTAGAAAAATGGCATCGAATGGAAAATCAACAGCAAATAATCGCTGAACCGTCCAGATGAAAGTACCCCGCCTGTTCCAACCAACCTGACCGACAACATGAGACCTTATATAATGTTATATATTAATATATTATATATATAATACAGTAGGTTATACATGTTTTTCTTGGTACTTCTTTGGGACCTTTCTTGTTTCCTTCCTTTCTTCCTGCCTCCATTGGTTTCCTTGCTTTGCATGTGTTTCACCCTTGCTCCTTCCCGCCGTTTCTGGTGCCTCTCCCAGGAACGCACCAATGCACCTGAAGCAAACGTTCCAGTGATAGTGCGGGATGTGTTGAGAACATGAGGTCATGCACAGTAAAGCCATAGGGTTCCAGTCTTGCCCACAGGCAGCAACGAGCTTCCAGTGGGTCTCAATATGGTCTCAATTAGCTGTCCTGTCGCACCCATTAGCCCAAATCTTCCCTCGGCCCAAATCTTTTGTCGGCCGATTCCTGAACTAATTTGTCTTGAGGTGTAGGACTGCTCTGAACTAATACTTCACAGTGGTCGAGGCAACCTTCCCAGCTCAAAAACACATCGCAGGTTTGAGCTTCTGGAGGCCAAGGCACAGAAGCCAAGCCAAGCCTGGAATCTTTGGTTTCTCCTCTGTTTTCTCATCAGCCTTGGTCTCTTTCAGTATTGCATTGGCAAACACAAATTGAAACAAGTGCTTGTTCCCTGGCTGGTGGTGTATCAAGAAGCTTTGCCAGATGCAGAAGGATCTCCAAGACAGAAGCAAGTGAAGGCAAAGTTGGAGGCTGAAAGAAGAGCGCAAACACCTTAGGATGATGAATGCGAAAATACGCAACCCACATGCTAGGATCAATCATACAAATACTCAATACTGTGAAGAATGAAGTGGACTTGGGGTGATCTGGTCTTGAAACCTTGTTGTCGCCAACTGTGTTCCTCTCAGTATTGTGATACAATAGAGGAAGAAACACGCAGGTCTATGCCATGTTGTATTGTCTCTAGCAAACTACAAAATCAAATTGGGAGTCTCCACGAATCCGGCTTAGTCCGGTCATATCCATAACATCTATGTCGTTATGCCCACCTTCAATTCGTTCAGTGCCCGCCAGTCTTTTTCTGAATTCAAGGGACGGCATGCGGCCGTAAAGCCTTGATTGCTAATGAGGCCTCCAACCACTGGCCCAGTCATGACACCGAGTGCAATACCTTAGTCAGTCGGATGTTTTTCATGTTGTGTAAACAACTAAAGAGAGTAGTACACCCAGCCTCTTCAGCATTGCACTCTGAGTTGCTGCCATTCAGATGCGCCATACGCACTGGACGTTCTTCTGTGCTGGTTAGATCTGCAATGTAGGCATTGCAAACTCCAATCCTTGTCAAGTGGAGCCGTGCATCTCACTACGACAACAACCAATATCGCATGTGATACAAAAACCGTTGAAAGAGACATGCACCTGTAGCACTAAGGCAAATGGCTTTACATCAGCCAACCAAGCTTCGTTGCAGAGAAGGCCCCAGCAAGAGAATAACCAATGAGAAGCCCGAAGAACGTCCTACTGTGCAAAACGTCCTACACACCTGACTGAGCGCCAGGAAACACACCCCATGGTACCAAAATCTGAAGCCAAGTAAATCATATGGTAATCCGATGACAATGTCACAATACCTGAACAAGATGGAGCCCACGAACCCGAATGCAAACACGTTCGAAAAGCTACATATGTCCAAATGACACTCTTGTAGGACACTCTTGTGGGACACTCTTGTGGG